ACAGTTTTATATATGATTAACCATCTCCCCTAAAAAAAAAATCACCAAAGTCTTGTGAGACACTTTAAATTGTTCCTCTTTTACAGTGATTCCAGCTATTTCAAACTCACATGGGATTTTTATCTCTCCAGCGCTTTCTAAAAATCTTACCTATTACATCTCAGCAGCATATTGCTTTAGTCTGAAAGTATGTGCACACTTAGATAACCTTATTGAGAATGCAGTCCTTACAAAAGGCCTTTGTGTGACTATGCACACAGGAAAATGTATACAGAGCCTGTATGTCACTCTGTGAACCGGACTGAGGTTCAGGCATGAACGTAAAGGTATCCCAAATCTAACAAATTTATCAGAGGTAACAGCAAGCAAAATTCTGAGCTCTTCAACGAGTTACTCTAACAAAATGAGGCATAGGCGTCCTAAGTTATCATGAAATGTGACTAAATATTACCATTGCAGAGATACAAACCATATTTGATCCACTTCTTCTGAGGAACAGATATGGGTGGTTCCAAGAAATAACCCAGAACAAATAAAATCAAATATCAAATCTGGATGTTCTCCAATTAACTAGACAATGCAAGATCAAATATATATTTGACAGGAACAAATGCATATCCACAAGTCTCAGTGCATGTATATACCATATACTGTTGGTTTGTCACTACATGATCAATACCACCTTTTGGGATTTTTCAGGTAACTGCCTTCTGAGGAAACAGACTGACACGTTAAGCCAGATTTCCTCATAAAAATCCTTCACAGGCTTCTAAGTGCTATTTCAAATGCCTGGCACTTGCTATGGAAAGAGCCTAAAGCGGTCAAAAGTTGTTTCAGTGCTCCCAGAAGGATAATGATTTCATCTAGCAGTTACTTTCAGGGGTTGTTGTCCTTCTTTGTCACTTGGAGCAAAACGTGCTTATATGTGAGAATATGGCTGTGAGTTTGCTATAGCACTCAGTTATATGAATGCATTTTAACTGTTTTCATAGGCAGGGAGAAGTTTGTGTGCTGGGAAGCTTCCTGCTGAGGTCTGAGTGCCTCCTCTCATCACTTGCATGTCCTAGGTATAAACAGCTATCATCTACTTCAATGGGAGTTTCACATTAGCTTGCAGATGAAAAGGCTGGAAACTAGTACTTCAATATACAATCAACATAGTTCTCTTTATTTTTACAGCTGGATTATTCTACTGCAGTAAACATAAGCATGCAAATTTCTTGGACTTGATTCCATCCCACATTTTGATTTCCCATCCATAGTGCATTTCATCTAATTTTGTTTTCCTGTATTTTCTTTCACACCTGCCACCTGCTTTACAAACAAATAATGACTTGTATATAATACAGGTGGCAACAGGAGAAAGCCCAAAAGTCAGATTTAATTAGGCGGGATATGAATAGCTGTAGATTAAAAAAAAATATTTGAGGGCAGCATGTACATAATACCAGAAAAAAAGTCATTGTTACATAAAAAAATAATTCTGCTTTTTCAAGAACCCTTGAAACAACTCTTTACCAAAGATGTTAAGATTTTTACAATGATGAAAATGTATTTTAATTATTTTAAAGGCTTAGTTTTTTAAAAGGTCATGAAGGAATTTAAGGTGAATCCATTTTTTAAGACTGTTTAGATTACTGGGAGGGCACAAGCAGTTGTTTGCAACCTGGAACAGTTTCCATATAACGCTGCCAAAATTGCATACCTAAGAAGAAATCTTTATGGGGCAAAGCACCAGCTGCTTGTGGATCACAGAATCATAGATCACAGAATGGTTTGGGTTGTAAGGGACCTTAAAGATCATCTAATTCCAACCCCCCTGCCATGGGCAGGGACACCTTCCACTAGACCAGGTTGCTCAAAGCCCTATCCAACCTGGCCTTGAACACTTCCAGGGAGGGGGCATCCACAACTTCTCTGAGCAACCTGTTCCAGTGTCTCACCATCTTAATCATAAAGAATTTCTTCCTTATATCTAATCAAAATCTACCCTCATTTGGTTTAAAACCATTACCCCTTGTCCTATCACTACACTCCCTGATAAAGAGTCCCTCCCCATCTTTGCTGTAGGCCCCCTTTAAGTACTGGAAAGCTGCTATAAGGTCTCCCTGGAGCCTTCTCTTCTCCAGGCTAAACAACCCAAACTCTCTCAGCCTGTCCTCACAGGGGAGGTGCTCCAGCCCCCTGATCAACTTTGTAGAGTCAGCATAGCTTCATCAAGGGGAAGTCATCCTTGATCAACCTGATAACCTTCTGTGATGAAATGACTGGCTTGGTAGATGAGGGGAAAGCAGTGGATGTCTTCCTGGACTTCAGTACGGCCTTTGACACTGTCTCCCATAACGCCCTCATAGACAAGCTCTGATGAGCAGACAGTCCGGTGGACTGAAAACTGGCTGAATAGCCAGGCCCTGAGAGTGCTGATCAGCGGTGCAAGGTCTAGTTGGAGGCCTTGTGGTGTAACCCAGGGGATACCACCACACACTAGTGGTGTACCCAAGGGGTCCATACTGGGGCCAGTCCTGTTTAACATCTTAATCAATGACCTGGATGATGGGGCAGAGTGTACCCTCAGCAAGTTGGCTGATGACACAAAGTTGGGAGGAGTGGCTGATAGGCCAGAGGAGTGTGCTGGCATCCAGCATGACCTCGACAGGCTGGAGAAATGAAGTTCAGCAAGGAGAAGTGAAAAATCCTGCACCTGGTGAGGAACAACCCATGCACCAGTGTACGCTGAGGGCCACCCAGCTGGAAAGCAGCTTGGCAGAAAAGGACCAGGAGGTCCTGGTGGGCACCAAGTTGAACATGTGCCAGCAATGTGTGCTTGCAGCAGAGGAGGCTACCAGTATCCTGGGCTGCATTAGGCAAAGTATTGCCAGCAGGTTGAGGGAGGTGATCCTTCCCCTCTACCCAGCACTGGTGAGGCCACACCTGGAGTACTGTGTCCAGTTCTGGGCTCCCCAGTACAAGAGAGACATGGACACACTGGAGAGAGTCCAGTGAAGGGCCATGAAGATGATTAAGGGACTGGAGCATCTCTCCATTGAGGAAAGGCTGAGAGAGCTGGGACTGTTCAGCCTGGAGAAGAGAAGGCTCAGGGGGATCTCATCAATGTCTATAAATACATTTATTTGTATTTGGGGAGGCGTGCCAAGAGGACGGAGCCAGGCTCTTTTCCATGGTGCCCAGTGACACAACCAGAGGCAATGGGCACAAACTGAAACACAGGAGGTTCCCTCCGAACATCAGGAAACAGTTTTTTACTGTGAGGGTGACGGAGCACTGGCACAAGTTGCCCAGGAAGATTGTGCAGTCTCCATCCCTGGAGATACTCAAAAGCCATCTGGACATGGTCCTGGGCAACTGGCTCTAGATGGCCCTGTTTGAACAGGGAAGTTGGACCAGATGACTTCCAGAGGTCCCTTCCAACCTCAGCCACTCTGTGATTCTGCAAATATTAAAACATTAAAATTGGTACAAACATTTGCGCTTTATGCAAGACACTAAATGTCTTCAAAGGAAGGGAATAGTTCTGGTTTGATATCCCTTGCAGTGACATGTAACACAAATCCCTTCTCAGTTATTCAGCAAGATCCTTAAATTCCCTAATAGCTCCCCTTTGCCCTCTTGGTAGTCTGCCAGACTTGCGAAGTCTCCTGCAAGCTTCCTGTTTCTGACTTATGCTTTTGAGAACTTCTTTAGCTATTTGCCCTCATGATTTCCTTTGTGCACACTGTCTGATGTAGTTTACTCTATTGTGACCCTTGCGCTAGGTGTCAACAGCAGAAGCAGAGGAGGGGTTTACTCTGCCTATCTGGTGGGACAAGTTTTCTTGTTCCAAGAGTTTTCTAATATAAATATTTAAAAAAATCACAAGGCAGCAGCTTGTGCCCCTTTTAAAGAGTGTGGCTGTTCACTTCAGAGTTCCTCCAAAGAAATGATTTAACTGACAAAGAGTAAAAAAGAACAGGCCTCTGCACCCTTTCAAAGACAAAAATGTAAGGGCTGAGTGCTCACTTGTTTAGCCTTGCCAAAGGAAGACTGAGGGACACAAGGGGGGTCAGATCTCTTGCTATAAATACCTCAGGGAGAAAACAGTTATTCATGCTAAGAGACAATGCTGGCATAAGAACAACTGCATATAAACTAGCTGTGAATACATTTAGGATGAATACTGAAGGCAGATTTTCATCCACTGGAGCAAAGAGACCCCAGAGCAATAGCAGCACACATGCACACAATGGCACCCGAGTTCAAGAACAAGTTTAACGGGAGACTGGACTCTGACACAGAAGATCTATTTTACTGTTGCATCCTTGTCATCTGTTCCACATTATAATTCATTCCGATAAAAGATGAATACTTTTCATGAATAACTCTGTTGCGTGTTACGCCCATGCATAAACCTCACGATGGCCTGTAGTGATGAATGACAGCCAAGCACACTGAATGAAAAATTCCTGCCAGCCTACGCCTCATAGAAAAGGCGTCAGCATGACATACCAGTTTATCAGTCTCAGAAATAATCCCGATAAAGCATGTATATAACTCAACCTTCAATGTGTGGTTGACGCACAGATTTTGTACTCAGAGAGCTATTTCAGCTAGGGGTTAGATTTCTCACAGCCCTCATGCTCCTCTGGAAGTTTTTCCAATGCAGTCACTGTGGAGGCACAGTTAAATGGGTACAGACATCTCAGAAGGTGACATCATATATTCTTCCTTCTTACACTGAAATATGCAATGCAGGCAAAAGGCACTTTTATACCATTATAACCACAAATGAACTAGGAAAATCATATGCTTTAACAAGACTTGAGCCACTAACACAGGCTCACGTGAAGTCAAGTCCTTGAAAGAAATCTTTAAGAAACAAAACTAAACCCCTGTTTCAGCACACAATCTATTCTTGCTTCCCCAAGGTTTTGCTCATTAGCTGGTTTTGAATGCCAGAACGCAACTTTCTTTCAGAACAGACTGCCCTGTAACATTCTGTTGTGAAATTTAACATTCATAATTTTATTATAATCTGAATAGAGGCGATATCTGAAGAGCAGAGAAAATGACTATACAAAGAATTTATAGAACATTCATTTACATACTGGAGACCTTTTGATGCTTCTTTACAGTTTCAAGAAAAAGGCAAAAATTTGCACTAGTAGGTAAATCCAGGAAGGAAACATTACATTTTTAATGATACTGTTGGATACACGGAAACCATTTCATTAAAAACATGGCTTTTAGCATTTTTGTAGTTTAACACTGTACGATTATAGTAGTACATTTACTAAGCAGGTTAATAGGAGTCTGGCTAAATACATGTGTCAACTTGCTGCTATTAGTTATGAAACTGCATATACACATCTACCAAAAACCTTGAAAGAAAAGTGCTGTATTAACTATTTAGTCCTGTATTTGCCTTGAACATAAGTTTCGTGAATATCTTTCTACATACACTACACAATGGTACATACTGAACTATTTTGCTTTGTGCATTTTTTAATTCATTAAAAAGCAAAAGCACGTGGCAATATACCATCCAAAGGAATGCATAATAGAAAACCTCCCTTAGAAACAGGGCAACTTCTTTTTTCCCCACTTACCAAGTAGAGCTAAACTCCCAGGAAACACCACCAGGAGTGTCAGCATTCAATTCCTTATGCTCTTGAATTCAGCAGGCCTTGAGAAAGCACAAGGAATAAAAAATAAGGCCCTGAATGGAAATGATAATACCTGGGAAAAAAAAAGACACTTTATTTTCAGCCCGAAGGCCAACACTTGGTGTCTCACAAGACACACTAAAATTTAAGTATCATCTACAGAAGTGAAAAAATATAGTAAAAAATTCCTCCTCCTGTCAATGCTCACAACACATCAGACTTAAATCTAATTGAGATGTCAGCTGAAGAAATTCACTGGGCTCCAACTGGCTGACTAGCTTAGGTAACTGGGTTCTTGGTGCATCAAAAGAATATTAAAAGGAAACTTGTCCTCACATGTTTCAAAAGGATCAAAGCTCCTAAAAGTAAGAACTGCATTCTTTTTTGGATGGTACATAAACACCATTTAAGTAGTATACCTCTGTGTCAGAAGAACAGAATTATTTGGTACAAATCACAGGCACTTGCCTTTGTTGCTTCAACGGTAGCTACTACGCTTTGGATTGCTTCACCCTTCTACACACATCCAATGCCCACTGCTACTAATATACCACTTCCTGGTCCAAATACAGTAAACTTCAAATCTTTCTTCTCTCTCCCTTTCTTCCCCACCCCCTTCCTTTTAAAAAGCATAAAGTTATTTATACAAAATTCATAGTTACACAAAGAGTTTGGTAACACTTTGGCTATGGTCACTGAATAAGGTTTCCACGGTCCTAATACTTTAGGAAATAGCAAGAGAGCTGTTAATAAAAAACAGATCATAATTAAAACAGGACAAACATAGTTCAAATTGGTGGAACCTTCTTACCATGTAGCCCAACCGGAGTTTCCCATTCCATTTAACAACTATTTAGTAAAAGTGCATAGAAGGATTAAATCCTCCAAGTGGGTACAGTTACCAGTTAATCCAGTGCCTCATGCATTGGCATGCCAAATTCAGCATGTCATTTTATTCCTCAGGTTATTAATATAATGTTGACAGCCACACATCAAAGAAATAGAGGCAAGAAAACTTTTCAGCACTGTCACACTGAAGCTGCTTTATTACCATCAGTTCTGATATGGGGGTCTAGTACTGCTTTTTTTGGAGTGAATGGGAATTACCCAGTAGACCTCAGCAGCTTAGTCTCCTCGTGAAGGTTTCCACTGTAACCTACTGTATCAATTTTCCGTAAAGCTAACTAGCACTTTGTTACGCATTTAAAATACCCATGTGTTTAGAAAGATACAGAGATATGTACAAGTGTGATAGTTGTAGAAATCATGACATAAATGCTCTCAAGAAATGGGACAGAGTAACAAAATAAATTCCATTCCCTTTTGGATTTCCTGACTCAAGGAATTATTAAAAAAAATTATAAACCAAAAATAGCTCCTACAGATTAAAAAAAGCCAAAATAAGCCCCAAAACTCCAATAAAAAGGGGGCCAAAAGAATCCACAAATATAATTATGTGTTAGGTAGGGGAACAAATGTTACTACCAAAACAGTATTGCAGAGACAGGAAATGGGAAGTATCTTGTTACTGTTAAGACAAAAGTCAAAATATGAGACACTCTTGTCCATAGCAAGGCACAGGCTATACACACTTTTCTTATGCAAAATAGTTCTAAAGAGGCAAAGCTCAACAATGGTCTAGTTTAAGCATATCCATATGACATATCAAGATCTGAGATCTACTATAAATAATCTGGCACAGGTAAAAATATATAAATCATAAAATTTTCTTCTTTGCTTTTCCCTCATTTTTATCCTGTAATTATTAAAATACAGAATCTTCCCTGCTTAGTTCTCTGTATAAAAAAATAGTAATACAATAAAAACAAATTACAGAATAATTTCCACGCAACCTTTTTTTTTGTTCTGCCACCTCTCCCCCATTTAAAATTTTTCAAACTAAAACAGACCAGCCTTCTTAACACTGAATACAGAGCAATCTCCCTGAATATTCCACACTGCCGCTCCTTTCTTATCAGAAATCAACTTGCACAAACCTTCTCTTCACATACATCTTCCCCTTTCTCCATTCAGTTCCCATCACTGATCACATAAAGATGAAGGGAAGAGCAAATAGTCTTCCTCAGACCATCATTTTCTTAAGAGCATGTTTGCAAGGCCTATAGCTACCATTGATGCAACTATGGCAAGTGTCTTTGTGGAGGTTATACAAAACATTTTCTGCACAAAAACGCAGCACAGCCTAGTGAGTATTTCTGCTCCAATAAATGATGAGAAACAGCATGTGAAAATATATTAGAAACGCTTCAGGAGAAAAATTTTTCATTTATGCTTCATTCAGGTACGGGCTACATGGGTTTGGGTGGCACTCAGCTTCTTTTGTTTTGTCCTTTGATATAAAAACAAAGAAATAATGCTTTGTTAAGTCAGAGGCATCTTCAAAGAAAAGGCTGAACTCTTGCAAACACAATGCAGATAGACTGTCCTCTGCTTTCCTTCTTGGGAATGACAAGGTTCAGACGTTGCTGCTGAATAGGCTTTCTCCCTCTCACAGTGCTTTCCTTCAGTGAAGTCAGTGAAGAGCTCTGGGTCAAGGATGGAAAGGCATTAGATCTTCTTCTGGGATCCAATCATGACCTTTGATACAAAGTTCACAATGGCGCTGGCAGGTTGCTCTGGATCGTGCTCTGCAAATAGGTGGCATACGTTGTCTGTGGCACTGCCTTGCTTCCTGGCAACGAACCCAAATACTCTGCAAGGGCAACAATCACAGTGTATCAGAGAACAGACAGACAGGCATCGCCTCGATTCATAAAGCAAAACAGATACTGCAGAAACCGAAAGCACAAATCAGACTTCATCTGTTCTGATGGAGAAAGTCCTGTGTGACTGCTAAACACGGTGGTCCAGATGCACCAGCCAACTCAGGTGCTCCTGAGTGGCTCAGGATGGCCAGAATCAGGGAAGGAGACTGTCCCCTTCCTTCTACTCTGTCTATACTGCATCCTGTACTGTTTGCTGTCAGAGACATGCTGCTGACCCTGGGGATATATTTAATCTGATTCAATACTGCTGTTCTCTTACCTTCCTTGGGGGGTGTGTGGTGTGGTGCGCCAGGAATTGCCTAAAGAGAAGTTTTGAGGGCCACACATCTCAGTGGACAGAGTACTGGAAATAGGACTTAAGCCATCTATTTCTGTTCCTTTCCAGAAACCAGTGCCTGAGCTCTCTCTGTTTAGGTTTTTTCTTTTGGTAAAAGGGGGACAACAGCATTTGCCTTCAACAGAAAACACTTTGCAATCCACTGGTAATGATATATTTATGCCACACACTAGTATTACTAGGAGTGTTTTCATCTATGTGCCATGTGTGGGATTTTTTTTTTTTTAAAGCTATCAATCTAAGTGAGACAAGTATGCTTGTGTTAGTGTTGCTGGACAAGTGGAACATAAAACTGAGTAGCAAATGGCTCTGTTTTAATTTCTGAAACTTTAGTCAAATCACAGATGTGTGACGTAAATAAACCACGCTAGCTCTGGCTCCAGAAATCCCACCATCACATAATTGGGCCCTGACTTGCAGAGGTGCAGATGAAGTATCTAAAGTCTAATTACAGTGGGCAGAGAGACTTTTGTCTCTGAACAGCTGCTTTCCCTTCTACGTCTCTGACAAAGATAATTTAGAACACTAAGAAACTGATCACTGTAATGATATTCCTGAAACATTCAGTTAAGACACTCAGACAGGTGTCTACTTACTTTGCAGAAAGGCCATCTTTCATCCATCTTGTTGTCCATTGAGAAAGCAGTAAAAAAAAAAAAAGGAATAGAGAAATAAAAATGAAACCTATGTTAAGATTTTTTTTATATTAACAATACAAACAACATATTAGAAATACTGCTTGTCTTCCTTACTTTCTGTCCTGTGGATCCAAAGCACAGAAAATAACAGTGTTGACTGGATAATGTCGACGAAAGAAGAGTCTGGGTAGGAAGAAATAAAACAAGTTTTAGGAATAGTTAAGACGGTTAAAGTTTTAAACAATAAACACATCTGAAAAATAAATTATATTTAATCTAAATTTAATAATGATGATATATTCTTTTTGCTGTCTGAGTGACTTTGAAAGCCACCTGAACTGCTCCAACCAAATAAATCCATGTTTAGAATAATAATGTCAAGTTTTTGAACCAAAAGAAAACTGACCCTCAAGCTAAGAAAAAGAACTAGAAGTATGAAATGTATTTTTTCTAAAAACTGGCCATTTAGATACTATGTCAGTGGGAAATGCAACTTCTTGGAACTTGTGAATAATTTGATTATATTAAGTTTCAAAATATAAGCACTCCTAGGCATTATAATTTAAGATTTTGTCCTTGATCTGCTATAAACGCTTGCAGACCCCATGGAATTAAGAAGTCTGGCACCTTTTTTTTTTTTAACCTATAATGAATTCCTGTTGTCCCTCCTTTGTTATGTCAGTTTTCAAATCTAAAGACTTTGTGATAGCCTTAATAGCATTCAGTACAAAGTAAATATAAATTAACTTTTTATCATAGTACTTTACAGGCTATCCAAAGCACTATTTCAAATACTGGAGATACACAGTGTCTGCTTAGGCCAACTCAACAGTGATACTGGTGAAAGGTACCATGAAGATAAATTATTTCACTGAATAGGTTGAATATCAAATGCTGGCAAAGCCATTACTTTCCCTTTTTATAGGAAATAACAACAATGAAAAAAATGCCATGACAAAGTGACCTTACAGAGGTAAAAGCTGCCATGTGGAAGTAATATCCATAGCTTAAAACATTCATTCTCTAGTACTGCAGACAGCTGACACTGTCACCATCATTCTTTAGACAATCCTATTATCCTCTGAGACAGAGATTGCAGAACATAACTAGGAAAATCAAATCAACAGCAGCCAACACTTGTTGGGGACAAGGCCGGATATTCTCTTCCCACCCTTCTTTTGCTTACTTTCTTTGATTATCTGTCAATGTGATTCCCTGTGCAGACACCTTGAAATGGACAACGGTTGAGATGGGAGAAGGATCTTGCATCAGCGTCAGGCTCAAGGCTTTCTGTACTGCCTGGTAGCCCGTGAGGGACTCCATCTCCACTGAATTCAGGTACCAAACATTACACGCTGTAATGAAAGATAGGAAAGACTTTGAGAGGTCATTACCCAACAGCAAGCAAACGGGTATCTTCTGAACAAAACCAAACAAAATCTAATTTTTCTACCTTTTTAAAGCAAACAGGGAAGACTGGCAGCAAACTACCAAACCTTCTACGTGTGCCTCACCTTGTCCCACTGTTGCTTCATAGTTTAAGACTATAATTTCGGAGGTCATAGGCGTTTTGCTGTCCCTTTGTTTTTAATACCTTTGGATTTAAGCCAATGACTGTATTTATCTATTACCTACAGATCCTGCAATTTAAATAAATACAAGACCGCAGCAGAGAGAGAGGCCACTCATAGGTACTACTACAGCAAAGGCATTCCTGAGGGTAAAGAATGCGGATATTTTGCTTTTACGTTCAATTACAGCAGCCAATAAGAAAATACACATTTTTGCAGCATACGTTTACACATTTTACACTTTCAAATGGTACTTAAACTATATTCAAAGGAAACCATTCACTTGTTTGGCAAGACAAGAACATTTTCACCCCATAAAAAACTGAGGGTTGCTGCAAAGCTTACTTCTCATTAATTCCATAGTGTTTTGTATGTTTAGCTATTTTAGGGCAAACAAAACAACTTCCACATTGAGAAAAATTACTGACTTAGGTATTTTTAGGTCTATTCTTTACCTCAGCATGCACTAACTTTTAAAAGCCCTATTCCTCTCCTAGAGATATTAGTAACTTCTGAAGTACCTCTATAAAACAGAACCGCATTGGTTTCTAAGGCTACCGAATAGTTAATTTTTTTACCTCGTCTCATACCAAATCTGCAGTGAGCACTAGGAAAAGAAGTACTGATATAATATAGTGTTATATAGTAGTACTATAGTACTGTATAATACTACATAGTACTACATGGTAACAGTGCCATATAACATTATAAAGTATTATTATTATTATATAATATTAATAGAATTATTCACATGCTTAAATACTTTGGTACTGTGGTATAAAGTCAAATTTACAAGCAGATTAAGAACATTTTTGAAACTGAAAAGCCCTGTTAGTCTTATTCTACAGCACAAGCAAGACAGATTAAACACATCTGTAGCTAAACACTGGTATCAACAGACTTTGTGTTGTGGTAAACACATTTGTGTAGGTATCCACGACAGAATTTACAACTCTGGCAGCTGACATACATGCAAATTACCATGCTAGTATTTCATCTGTTCAGCAATTTAGCTTGGCTTGCCAACCCTACTATGAAAGCAAAGGTTAAATTAAATCTAATAGCATCTCTTTTCATATGGCTATTCTGTAATCTGACTAAAGATTTCTCCTATGACTATCTACATAAAATACACAGCTAGACATTGGCACTTTCAAAACAACCAAGCAATCGTACAGTTAAAGACTGCATAAGTGTAAGTTTGATTCTAGCAGCCCAGTAACTTCAAGCTCTGAAGTCTGTCAGTAAAAGAAGGAATCCAGAGATTTGATTTATTTGACTTGTAAGTGTAAGACTTCCCAAACATATTTGCACATCGGTGTGATTGTTTCAATAACCTTTGTTTGAATCAATTACTATACAATTCATGCAGAGAGGGATTTAAGATCATGAACGGCAAGTTCAATGAGGCCTTCCTCACTGAACAGCTTTCTGTCATGTCTATCCAAAATTGTAAGTAACATTCCAAACCATAAGCTCTCCTCTTCTCACATCATTACTGTGTATGTTTGGTACAGATCTAAAGCTCTTCATTATCCTGTGAGCCTTTCCCACCACAGGAAGCTTGCCTTGTTTCCCAGTCACACTCCTCACCACTTCTGAGACCCAGATGAAGGGTTTCCCTTCCTCTTCTGCCACACATTGCATTGGTGTCAACAGACTGTGTTCAGGTTTTGTTTCCAAATGAAATAGCCAAGCATTTTGTCTAGATTGCCCTCAATGTGATAGTTCAAAAGCAGTCACTAAGTACAGTAGATTCCTTTACTTCTGTAGCACAAAAAATAATAAATGGAACCTTTTTAAAAAAATGTTGGAAAGTGCAAAAATGTCATCTTAAAAAGGAGATTACAGGAAAGGAAAGGTAATGAGAAAGGCTGAAAGATTTCTCATTTAAGAACATCATGCATGGTCTGATGGGGTATCGAATGACAGCAATCACACAGAAACCATACTCAAGGTTAGAACAGAAGGAAGACATCTGTGTCTTTCGTGCAATGCAGCTGCCCTGCAATGTTCATGCTCTCGTCTTCCACAGGTGGCATTTTGTAGTCACGTCCGTGCTACCACCAACAGCTACATAATGTGGCCATTTCGAGTAACCCCCTGCTGCTTTTCGACTGGGAATGCGCTTTGTTCAGAATGCTTAGTCCCTTGACTGTATTAGTGGAAACAGATACGAAGAACTGGGATTTATTTGGGGCAGAAAATTTTGCTGCCGAACAGCAAGGTTAATAAAGCAAGGTCTGTTCCAGGGAAAAGCCACTTATCTGTATAGTTTCTAGTCTTCAATTGTCACTCTCTAGGAAGCAAAGGATTTCTAGTCAGCTTCTGCATTTAGATGACTGGAAATACTCATTAGGTTTTTCAGACAGCTATAAAAAATGATCATTCTAGGAAAACACATCTTCATTATTTTGCTTGTGGAGTGGGAGAAGGGTGGGGTAAAGTAGGGCAGAGAAAAAGTGCATCTGCTTTGACTAAACTGCAGGTGCTCACGCAAGCTCAGATAGTTGGAAAAGAAACAATTTACATGTTTCGTGTCTGCACTTCAGCGTTGAACTCCACAACTTGAATGTCTCTATGACTGGAGAGGGACCTCTGAAACATGGAAAATCAGTGGGAAATGATGTATCAAGGCAAAAAAACCTCTGAGAATCTCTCCTAGCTAATTGATCTATCCTGGTTCCCAACTCCTGTTTAAAAACAAAAACAAAACAGAGAAAAAAACAAATGTACTAAGTTCCCCAAATGATCCATGACGTGACAGCCACCATAAGGAGTTATCTGACTACTGCCCCAACTGAAGTAAGAATTATTTCTTTTCCTTTGAAAAGCATTGCCTGAGCAAGGAGAAACCAACATTTCTCAAAAGACAACACAGGCCCCTTTTGCTGGGTTTTCAAGAGGGAAAGTTATACAAAAATTCGTTCTCCTTGTTTTTCTCCCTGTTGGCCACAGCAAACACCACCAGCACTGGCAAACAGAAAGGCCAACACGTGCTCACTCCTGGCACAGCCTCGCGAAGGCTTGCCATTGCCTCAGCCACACATTCCTGCTTGATTACAGCACTCGAAGTGGTACTTCAAATTTTTAAGTCAAAGCAGATTGCTGCACAAGCAAGAAGCAACACTCACTCTCTCTGGAGCTGCTCAGCTTGGCAACTGTCCCCTTCAGAAGTGCCCTAAAATGGATGAGAGCAATGAGGCAGCATTCTTATAAAGGCATGCTTGGCCACAACACTTTTGCTTGGTAGGCTAAACTCAAAGGAGAGTGGCAACTGTAGTGTATTCTCCTGCTCTAATGGGACTAATCAGGTGGACAGATAGATCCTGGGGAGAATTCATAGCAGCCTGAAAACCAGGGACCACGGGACGGCATGGACAGGATCCCCTGGGCATGCCCACTGTACAGGGGAATAACACAGTGGCTGCATTTCTGCTAAGGAAAGCCTTAAGATTACGAAGGGGTACTCAGAACATGTCCAATAATGGTGGGTTAGGACGCCACCATGCTTTTTCAGACAGGCTATTTCACTAGCTGTCTCTGGGTCAGCTGCACACAAACAAAGCAGATGAGAAGCAGAGCATGTCTTTATACAGCTGCTGCAAATACCTCTAGTTGAGAGCGATACAGACGGTACCAATTCATAGCATCACATCATTTGGAGGCAATCTTGTCAGGGCTCTTCTGCCACATCAATAAGCTCACGGTAAGACAACTTAACTTGCCAGAAGGGGTGCTGCAGTATGCATGAGAATCCATAAAACAGCATCCAGTGGAAAAAACAGTGGACATTTCCTAACAACATGCAGAATCAAGTGAAGCACAGAGTAATGTTTTTTAATTTTCTTTTTTCAGATTGATGGGACAGTAAGCATTTTCCAGTGCTATTGTTGACCCCTATGCTGAGAATTTAACCCTAATGAACACTTTCCTTAGTTGCCTTTTGCAGACATCAGACATAGTTCAGGAACCTCTGCAACCACAGGTTGAAAATATCTTCTCTAAGTTCATCAGTTATGAAAGCAATGTCACCGCTTAAAAATTGCTGTGCTTGAACCAACCTATGTGTACCTCACAGTGCCCTTACACTTCTACACAACACTCTTAATTTAACTGCTCCCTTTAAACATCCTTCAGTCCAGCCTAAGCTTCAGCTTCTCCCAGCCTGTAAGACAAAATTTGGTAAGAGTCAAATGCAAGGAAAAAGTTTAACAGACCTGCACCCTGTTTGAGAAGCTCCGCTGCTGAGTTTGCAGCAGTTTGCGGGGAAGTTTCTGCTATCTCCTCCAAGGGATCTGCAAACAGAAAACACTGTCCATGTCTTGTTTGGACTTGAATTGACAAATCAATGCACGTGGCCAAGTACGAGTTCAGCTTTTGTAATTGTGATCTCATCTACTGAACAACTCTTGGCCAGAAACATGAAACAATCTTGTATCTGCAACTATAATCATTCATGTGGTTTTTGTGCTGCATCAGTTTTTTTGCCTCCAGCGCTGCAAGAGGGATGCTTAACCTTTATTTCCTGACAGTAAAAGACATAACTACATAGCATATGCTGCAGAGACTCACATGATGTCACATTAAAACAATCCTAACAGCTATATACCCTCATTACAACCTTGAAATTTTTTAAATAGTGCAATTTTAATTATCTCATTTAATTTGTATAATTTACACTAATTTAGGCACAAAGACTTTGTGTTTCTATGATTAAATCAATTAATTGTATTTTGATTCAGAAGATGACAACATAATCCTTCTTTCTTCATACTTATGTAGAAAACAAACATCTGAACTATTAAGACAGCAGTGGAACGTTTGCCTCCCAATCTTCTGTTAAAATTAGTGAGAAAACTGTCCATCAGTATGTTATTTCAGTTATATAAATTCATGTAAAAAGATCTCACTTACTGCTGTATTTAACATGATGCATGCTGTCTTTGAATACATTCAAATGAGGAAGAGAGCAGTAATACGGTGTGTGACACTATTCACATGTTTAGAGTTATCCATACGCTTTAAATACTCCATGCACTGTGTCCATAATCATTAACCACAGAAGATCATCTTAAAATGTGTGATCATACTGGATTCAAAAATAAATACAAAATAAAATTTCACTGTGGTATGTTTATTCAGGACAAGGCAGATGTTTCAGTTCTGCACCTCTGCCAGAACAGAAGGAGCTTTCCATTTTAGGTGAGGAGGATAAGGAGAACAAGCCCACCTACCACACTGGTTTGCCGTATAAAGAGCTCTCTGGTCACACCTACCATAGCATGTTTTTGTGCTAAAATGGTTTCATTAATGTATTTGCATAATTCAAATGCTATGTTTGAACACTGACATATGGCCTTTAACAAAAGTTTAAAGAGTTCAGCAGAAAACCACAAGAATGATTAACATTTCAAAAATACATCTGGTGTTAACTTCATGTGGGAGAGTAACAGACAACTGAATTATGAGGCAAGCATAGCTACATTTTGCTGTTGTCTTAGCGTGGTTTATGAAATCACCATAACCAAAATTAGAATTACAGTCCCATGATGCAACACAGGATTTCTGATCATTTACTTAAACAATATTTGCACCTGTGTAAGATGCTACTTCCTTCCTGCCAGTGTCACACTCAGGGCTCCTTCTGTTCTTTACCTACTTGCCTTCCCTAAAGCCCTTTTGCCACCCGGACTGGAATGAGTAGTTACATCTAACCATACATGGGCATAACTTCATGTCTAAGAAGTACATTTATCTTCCTACATGCTAGATTACTGTGTGGATTTCCACAACACATATATGTTTATGACTGGAATATCTGCTCACAACTACAGCTTGGATAAGAGCCGTCAGCAGTACTAAAGAACCACTTTTAAAACACAGCTTCCTTCCCTGTGCGTTCTTGCTTAGATCTTGACTTGCGAAATGTTCACCTGCCTTCAGACACTGGCACTTTGAAGCAGAGCTTGGCTGGATATATGCCTTCTGTACTTTAACAAGCATACCTCTGTCTGGGATGAGGAGCTTGCAGGGCAATGCCAGTGGAGTGATGGAATGCTGATACACCAGAGCTGTCAAACTCCCTGTGGTCAGAAGAGTAACAAGACATGCACAGTTAACTTTGTCGACAACAAGAATGCTTAACAGTTATGTTGGCTCTCAACTATTTTATAGACCAAGGGGCCTCCCCCCCCGCCCTTTAAAAAAAATTCTCTTGGCACCTAAGCCAAGACCTTCTTCGGTCAACTTTAATGTATTCATGTTGCCCAGCACTGTCCCAGTTGGATGTACTTGAACTCAATCATACACTCCCTTTCCCTGCCTAAACATACTGCTTAAATCCTAACCTAAATGGCTTTGCTTCAAATGGAGAAAGCACAAAAATGACAAAAACAGTAACATATGGAAGTCAGTAAATTCCTTTCAGTGCTCTTAACTTCTGCTACATTAAATGCAGTAAAATCTTTTGAAGATGGTAAGAGCACAAGGGGTCATGTTATGCTATGTGAAGAGGCAGAGAAAGTGCGAGGAGTTCTGCCTCTTAGCCACCTAGTCTCCACTGTCTAGTGCTTTGTCTACACACACCTCTATTTTATGCTTCTAAAAGTATAAAAGATGGTCTAGCTAAAACCTCCTCCATTCAATGCAGCAGTGATGTACGTAGCATTCTCTATTAAATCCTTCTTCTTTTCTATTCAAAGTCACTTTTGTCATTTGGACTTGGCTTAATTAAAATAATTAAACATTAGTCATCCTTGACATTAGCATGTGAGACTATACTCTAAGGAGTGAGAGGAAGGCGTTAAGATTCATCAGTCAGTCTGTACAAAAAGCCATCCTTCGATCCTGTTTACTAACAAACGTGAACATTATAATCATGCACTTGAGAAAAATCACAGTTCAACTAAAACCAGCCCCATTTCCACAGCCCATCAAAAATTTCTTTGAAATGGAAAGATGACCCAATTCTGCAAGGGTCTTACAGAAACGCAAAGACCAATTGATACTATTAGTCCTTCATTGCCTTATCCATACAAGCGTATGATAGCGCCTGCCCACTTACTTTGTGAAGCAGTTTTGAGGCTGTATACATTGAAAGATTAGGAGAAGCTCAAACTAAATGATTAGTAGGGCTACATATGTGCCATAAACAGGTACTTCAAGATCAAGGTAGGACTGAGCTAAAAATTCTGATTTGAAATAATCTCATGCCAAACACTGACAAAATTCAATCCATCTTTCCTTCAAATAGGATTTGTCTTTTTACACTTGTTCATTTTACGGCAGATGATACACCTTTCACGGGTGTATTGGGTGTATGTGACAAGGCTGGTAGCAGGGGGTGGGAAGTCTGCAGGGTGACCTCTGTGGGAAGAGGCCAGCGGCTGCCCCATGCTCCAGCAGACCCACTGCAGGGCACCGCTGAGCCACGGGTGGGATGCCTCTGGGAAAGCGTATCTAAGAAAGGGCACAGAGACCAGAAGGGAACAAAAAGAGTGAGACAGCAGAGGGAACACCACTATCAGAGGAGGAGGAGAAGGTGCTCCAGGTATCCAAGGTGATATCCCCCACCCTGCAGCCTGTGGAGGACCTCACATTGGAGCAGATGGACATTTCCTGAAGGAACTGTGGCCCACGGAGAGCGCATGCTGGAGCGGATTTTTTTCCTGAAGGATGGCAGCCCATGGGGAAAGCCCACACCTCAGCAGGCAAAAAGTGGGAGGGATGGAGCAGCAGAGAGGAACTGTTCTGTAATGACTGTACACCCCCCACCCCCTCCTGCACTGCCTGCGGCGCGGGTGAGGAGTCTGGGGGGAAGCAGTGAAGTTGACGTTGGGAAAAGGGGAAAGAAAAGTGTTATTTTAATGTTTGTCTTTGTTTCTCACTACCTGAATATCGATTTGAATTGGCAAAAAATTTCATTACTTTTCCCCAAGTTGAGCCTCTTTTGCCCGCGGTAGTAACTGGTTAGCAACCTCCCTGTCTTTATCTTGACCCATGAGCTTTCTCATCCTCTTTTCCCTTCCTGCCCCACTGAGGAGGGCAAATGAGCGAGCAGCTAGGTATGTGTTTGGCTCTTTGCCACATATTACCTAATGTAATATGCTTTCATCATATTACATTAGGTAGGCTGATGTAGCATAAAGTACTTTGTGAACATCCCACTTTGGTGTCATTTTAGCCAGCTAGCATACAGTATAAATATAGCACAGGACAAAATAAGGCAAAGGTCCTGAATCAATAAGGCCCTTAACAGTCATCTAGCTCAGCTGTCTGCAGTGGCACTGGTAGTGGCAGACAAGCTTGACTGCTTGAAGCTTGGTCATGTGCATCTGTGCTAGTGTGCCCATTTACCATATACTTAAGGTAAATGTGTACCAGGCTCCTATAACCTTAGAATGGGTTCCTACAGAAATCATCAGGACTTGAGCAAAGTGTTTCTCTCATTTGCACTCCATCCAAGTCTATAAAACAGCTCTGGCAAATGCAAACTGTTTCCATTTTCTGTGTCCCTGTGATGCACGGTACTTACCAAAATATGGTTCATTTGGGCATCCTTTCAAGCGCACCCCCTTGTGAGTGCATTCAATCAGAAAATGCCTTACAAGTTCATTTGACAAATCTCCAACTGTGTTGAAAAAGAAAAAGAAAGCTCATGAAGAGAAGCCATGAACTGACAACAGTCTCACAAATTAGCATGTCTTTATGAAGCAGTTTTCCACATTACCACCAAATGTTTTATATACAGCATTCAAAGAATACATTAGACCTGCTCTGCTGCAAGGTTACAAGCTGTAGTAAAAAGGCCATTTTGCGAAAAACAAACAAGCAAATAGCTCACTTTAGACAACCAGAGGAAAAGGTTTTATAATCATAAGTGACTGACATCCAAATATACACTGGTGTCCAAAATGTCCAAGCATGGTCGCAACTACAGACAGGAGCAGAACTCTGGAAAACTAATGGTTAGAAATTCTGATGCACTTGCCCATTAGAAGAACTTGTATCCAATGTGACAAAGGAGTAAAAGTATGATAAAATACTCAGATTTCTTGTGACAGTTCTGCTCACAGAACTTTTCAAGATTAAAACAATGTAAGATTTAGCTACAGAAACGTAACGATGCCAAGTCTCTCAGCGAATTCTTAAGTTTTAAAATGTTTGCAGTTTCATGCTAAGTTTTTGCTCCTGAAAACAATTAATTACATGAAACACTCAGGTTTCACTGGATTTTTAAAGACAGTTTTTATCTCTCAGGAATGTAGGACAAATCGAAATTGTTAAGTTGGATGTAATGAGATTCAAAGTCCAAGAGGCATATAAAAAGTCCCTTGAGATTTAGCATTCTTTTAAACATATACATACATACATATGCACACATATAATTCAGACAACTTCATTAATTTCTTGAAAGACTGGTTTCACAGTATTTCACACCTGACTACAAACTGAATCTCTCTCCAAGTAATTAAAGGGTTATTTCATAGCAACAGGACAAAGCTACCCAACCATTCAAACCTTAACAAAAGAGCCACAAACACAAATGCTCCCTTTGACTCTGGTCTATCAGCCACAGTCCAGGAAACACATGACATCAGGGGTTGACTTTCAGGCTAATACAGATGAACACATTCATCTGGACAGCAGAAGCTTCTATACAAGCAAATATTGCAGAGATCACCTTTTCAAACAGCTTACTGTTTGGCATTATGCTCTCACAATATTAAAAATAAATTACTACAAGGGTATGTGATAAGGGGAAGCCTGGAACAAGAAACCCTGCAGAAGACTGAACAAATTTGGGCCTTCTGGGATGAAACAGTGGGAACCAAAAAAGCTAAGTATCACAGAGCAAGAAGGGGAAAAATGCTACAGTCTCAACTAAAATTTTCTCTTACTACCACTTGCCTGTGGTACAACTAACATAAACTGGCACTTAAAGGCTTGTAGAGTTTGAACTTTCATGTATTCCTGGACTTCATTGGTCTTATGATAAAGATAGATTACTTAAAACACCTACAGCCACTCTCCATTTGCCTCCTTGTTGTTGCTATCACCACCCCAGTGCACCCCTGTTGTCTTCATTAAATAAGACATTGCAGCGGTTCTGCTGATGTTTCTTGGGAATAAAAAGGATTACATGGCAAATTTTCATTAGAAATTGTCTCAAGATACCAGATTAAGTGTACAGAATTTGAAAGTGTTATTGTAATAGAGGTGGACTGTTAACCTTGCCCCAGAGTAAGCATGAAATCCTAAAAAAAAAAACCCCCAAAACAGCCAAACAAACAACCAAACAAAACCAGACAAAACCAAACTTCTATAGCCACGACACTAAGAATCACTGCTTTCCTGTGATCTCAGTTGCTTACCTCACCAGGCAGCATGTACTAACGAAACATAATAAGCTTTGTAAAAGGAAAACAGCAGCAATGAAAACCACCCCACTACCCTTGCAGTAGCACAAATGGAGCCAAGACCACTACAGATACTGGCTGCTGAGTTTCCATACATTGATTAATGCTTTCCATATGTTCTTCTCATTTTACCTTTCAGAACTATCAGGCACAAGTTACACATGGAGGCACTGGATCTGGGAGAGTAGGTGTATTTCATCACTTCTTTTAAACAACTATCATTTTCCCTAGGGAACCTCCTCAGATTTATATCTAGTGTAGAACTGTCTTAAAACAAAACCTTGGGGTCAAAAATATTCAACCTTCCAGCCAAGCGAAAGCTTTACATGGCGGTATGTGGATCAAATGCAGACTTCTGATTGCTAGGGGGGACCCATTACTGAGATGACACTGGTTTTCTATTAGGTTGATAAGGTACAATACATGCACAGCCACAATGAACATATATTTACAAACCATGGTGAAATTGCAAAGTACAACAGACATCTTATTCAGTCTCATTTAACAAGGTACCAAATGGAGCCTGTAATTCAAGTTGCACTTACTAGAAGAGGGGAGATTCCTCCAGATTATTACCCAGTAATAAGGACTTTCTACTATGTATGGCTTGTTAAATAATAGATAGAAGGCATACAGTACCTTTCTTGTTTAATTGCAGCACAGAAGGAGGTGGTGTAGCAACTTTCATTGCTAGCCCATAGGCTCCCCGGAAAGAATGACTGTCTCGAACAATGAATGACCCAGGTTCCTTGTCCTTGAGAACAGCAATGGCTGCAAGGGATTCCGGGAAAGAGAAAGAATAACAGTTCCAGAACAATGCACACACCCAAAAATACAGAAGTGCAAATCTATAATTAATAGAGGACTAAAGGAAGTAAGATCCTTTTCTCTGTCTCCATTGCTGTAGAACAGAATACAATCAAGCACATTTGGGGGATCTGAGTGGAAACATCTTGTGCAAATCTCACAGACACTTATTTCAAGAGAAGCCTGAAGTACAGATCCCTACTGATTTTTAAATTGAGAAGGATATGCAGGTCCCACCAGATTCCTACAACCAGTGCAAAAGCAAGTTGATTCCTGCTTACGTTTTGTCAACTTGTTAGAAGCATGACAAAGCACAGCTCTCTCTAATTCCCAGGCTGACTGGTCAGCAGTGTTTTTCTTTTCCTATGCAGCTTCAACAGGCGGAGCAGATCCGTTTTCATCCACCACCAAGTTTCTGTCCCTGCAAAGCAGTCTCACTCCCTTACTAGTTTTAAAGCAAGGGAAGGGATGTAAGTGAATATTCGCTCTTTGACTGTCCAAGCATTGAAATATTTTGCATCTATATTCTGTGATCTCTGCTGGAAGTGTGGTGTGAAGTCCTCCCCAGGAGGAACCATGTGCAGGGAAAACTGCTCTTGCTTTGCGTGAGTCTGCTGCAGACTTCAAAATCTAGTAGCCCAAAATGTTAAACTCACTTTGAAAAAAGACAAAAGGTTCATCTAATGATTGATCTTAATTTGATCTTAATAAAACCTTAGTACTTCCCCCCCCCCCTTGAACTTTTTGGAAATACTTGTGTTTGTTTCCAGAATTTCTAACGATCAGCAAGTCTTCAAAGAAACCCTGGAAAAAGCCCAAATTTGAACCTGGAGTCCTTAACTGTCTGTATACACAGAACATGGAAATTATGCATATGGGGCATGAAGCCATATTTTGCAAGGCCTGAGCAATGATTACATCATAAACACACACACACACACACTTTTTTCCATGAAAAAAATAGTAGTAACAGAAAATCAGGAAAATGCAGACATAATTGTCTCTCCTGTTTAAGTGAGTAAAGCAAACGCATATATATTCTGTTCTATTCATTTGTTGGATGGTGAAGAAAAGAACTATTTTCACAGTAACCTGTCACATGTTGAGAGAAGAAGGATGAATATATAAAACCCTGCAATTCAGCAGTACTCACATAACATTTCTAAATCCGCAGGGGGACAGTAACCACTTGTCACAGGAGCAACATTAAGCACAGGAAAAAAGAACAAGAGCTCCCCCTCCTCAGCAACAGTATCGTGAAACACTTTTTAAATGGAATTTTACTTGGTAGGGTGAAAAGAGGCATACTAAAAGGTTGTGAAGATTTTCTTTTCATTTGTTCAAGCAGCTAGGTTTAAACTTCCTGTATGATCTACGCCCCTCTCTGGACTCACATCGAGTCAGGAAATTTTTTTTGCACATTTGAAGACAGTTCTCATTATGGGTGGGGAGCAGACAAGGGGAAAGGGACTGGAGTGAAAGGACCAGTAAAACATCATCCAAAGATGAATTAATGATCTGTTTTCTATGATCTTTATTCCCCTGGGCTCATATTTACCACTACATTATAAGAGGCATCCTCACCATTTGAGAAACTATGAACTAGACAGACATAGCAATTCATCCTTTGCCAATAGCTAAAGGCTATTTTGGTTCAGTGTGAACCTCCTTCCCAATGCAGAACTAACTTGTCATTTTTCCTTCTTGACAACAACATTTTAAGAATCCCAGTTTAAAATCCTGCCATAACTCATTAAATACAATTCAGTATAGCTGAATATTACAATACGGACACAAGGACCGTCAGACCAATTGCATTCGCAAAGCACCCAGCATGCTTTATTTACGCATTGTTGCAAGGACAAGGTGTAAGTTCGTATGTATACATTTTCACATACATAGTAAAAGCTTTCTCCATCTCATTCAATAACACATCTACATATAGATGTACTGTATTTGTATTGTACATCATAAAGATGTTGTTCCATGGGAGTGTTATTTTGTGACCTTTAAAGAAATAACGTATTTCACTTGCAGCTGACAATGAAATTCAGGCTACAGGATGACTGATGGATGAGGATGCTTCTATGATGACTTCCAGCTAATGAATTATTCTCTGATTTAGTATCTCTCAACCTATTATCTGTGCAGGGAAACACACATGGCTGAGATCATGCCAGAGCAGCACTCTTGTACTCAAAAGGTTTCCGAGAGCAGCTGTTTGGTATTACATCACGCGTATCTATTCCAAAACTTGGAGCTTTTCAGTAAAGTACATTTGCAGCAGCTACCACAGGCAAATTTAAATTACTTTGTAGTTAGTTCAGTTAGGCTAATAATTTGTCTGATTAACTGAGTAATTTTAAGGACTACTTGACTACCCTCCACTCTCAAATTCAGCCTTTAGACAAAAGAAATGAAGTGAGGTTGTCTGTGGCCCTTCTAGGTTTTACATTTCTTCTTGTATTTCTTTTAGATATCAGGTATGCATCAAAAAAATTTAAGAAGAATTCACCAAGTAGCCTTTCTGTGAATGGATATGCCAGAATATATATCAGTTGATATACCTTGTTCTCTTGAAATATCTGGCTTATACCAGAACTTGGATGTGTCCTGGACAAATTTTACAGTCACATGTTTATCAGTTGTGTTTTCTGTGAAATAAAAGGGAAAAAAAGGTCAAGAAATTTTTTACATACAAAAGCATATTTTACTTTTCTTTCCAACTTCCAGTCACCTTAATTATTCAAAAAACTCATGATTAGAAGGACAATTTAAGAGAAACTCTGAACGGTTTTAGAACCAGCAAATATAATACCGTACACTAAGATTCTGAAAGCATTCTTGAAGTTTCATTTTGCAAAACCCTGAAATATGAAACACTTACATTTATAAAGCTGTATTAAATACAAAGCTTCTCAATGGGGTCCAGTGAATATACATCTACATTTTTAACTATTCTTGACACAAGTCTAGAAAGGTGCAGAGAGAAGCCAGCCCTTATTAAAAGAAATTGGACTCCACACTGCTCGCTTGCGGTCTAGCAGTTCAAAAAGTAGGTTGCCCTTGGCTGACATCTAGGGAAGCGCAGAAAGAATTCTGCAGCCTTGTTCTCTGAATAATACATCCAAAGCCAGTGAACTGGTGCCACTTACTGCAAATGTTCAAGTCCTCTGTGCCATTTTCATTCCATTGCTTTTTTTTTCCCCCTCCCCACTTTTAAAATCCCCTAAATGCTTTTTATAAACCCATAGAAAATCTAATATATTTTGTATTTCTCTGATGCAGAACCTACCTGGCACTGGGGAAGTGCTTAACATTTTTGAGAAATCTGGGAGGACATTTGGGAAGGGGATGCTGATTGTGCTTCCACTGTGGGGGCTAGAGAATCCACTTGAAGAAGGTGACACGGAGGCAAAGGAACGGTCTCCTTCAGAGGACCTCTTTTTCTCTGGAAGAGGCGGTTGAGCATGTAGGTTCCCTCCATGGTGCTGCTGAACCGCACTGTTCTGGCTATTGTGTCCAGAGGCCACTGTAAGAAAGTTTTGTGTCAAAAAGCCATTGTCCTCGGCACTTGCCACTGATGAGCTCATGGTTTTAGGAGAGATGCTAGTATTGGCTATGAAAGTAGCTTGCTTCTCCTCTTGCGGGGAGCTACTGCCCCTGTTGCCCCCACTGTAGCTCAGGTAGGCCCGGGCACTGCTGCTGACAGCAGGTTCTTGCTGTGGCTCTGCTGGTGAACTCTCCAGGCTGCTCAGGGTGACGACTTGCAGTCCTGGAGTTTGGAAATGAGACAAGAGAGAGACATCTTGCACAGCATTTGAAAATTCAGAGGACACAAGGTAACCTCCCGGTGGCCTGCTGTTTCCCATTGAAAGCTGGAGCGACGGGGAAGCTTTAGGGCTGCTTTCAAGCCAAGGACGTTCTGTTGCAGAAGAGCTGTCAAAAAAAGCCAAAAATTGAACACAAAAATAAAAGAACAGCCAAATCATTCCCTTAAAACGTCACTGTACAACCCACACTGCAGCGATCACTGAAAGCAATGAATCACCTCACCCAGGACAATAGCTGAGGGTGCTCTTTGACAACATGCTGGAACTGGCGATGCAAGCTGGATCAAGGGATTCCAGCCCCACCCTGATCACTCATTTCTTCAGTGTAGGTCATTACTTTCTGCCTCATCTCACCCTCCACCTAGCCATGCTGATGGGACAGTTTCTGAGTTTGCACTGTAAACCACACCATCAAATTCATCACAGTTAAAAATATTCCTCCTTCCCCCTGTTTGAGAAGGTTACTTTTAATATGAATCTATTCAGTGAGGCTGTTCACAGCATTGCTCCACACAGAGTGGTCCTGGAGATCTCTACATGGTGAGCTGAAGTGCTACCTGGAAAAGAGCAATAGGAGGCAAGAATTTCTTAAGCCAAGGCTGCCATCAAAGGCAGAAGTTTATGGAAGAAAACGGACACTGCCACAGCAGTTCTTACATGCAGAGGAGCTTATGCTCATTTAAAAAAAAAAAAAAAAAAAGAAAAAAGAAAAGAAATGGGCTAAGGAGGTAGTTGTGCACCATCACACAATAAATTAATAACTATGATAAGAACACAGTTCACAAGACCCAACTCTTCGACCAGGTCCCTTTTAATACAATTTGTATTAAAAGAGGAAGTGAGACAGGTCCAGTGGTTAATTTATTTGATGATGGAATAATTTTGATTGACAGAATTAAATATTTCGACAGTAAACATTAAATTTTTCTACTGGGTAGCAATTCCAACTGCTCAAGTGAAGAATAACAAATATCCTTCTAAACAAGACAAACTAAGCTTCTGATGAAACCATCTGATAAAAGTTTAAATTGTCTCCTTGCTTCTAAAAGTGAAATGCCCTTAGACTGTAGCTGGAAAACATTACCAGCAATATCAAATGTGGAGAGAACAAACTCATTGTGAGATGCAAAGGGAAAAGAGCTGACATAAGATATGTAAAAAAAGAAAGGATTTTTAATTAAAGGGAACTGTGGAAATGGATACCAGTAGATTTGAACAGATCAAAGTAGAAGGGCCATAAAGAAATGGAAGGGAAGCAAATGGAAGAAGACGTTGCAAGAAAAAAAAACCCCACAGCTGTAGCTATCAGCTAGATGAAATGCAAAATGACAGAAAAAATATTTAGAAAGAAGGGAACAAAATTTTCTAGATAAAGTTTGAAGTAGGAATGTCAACTTGATAATGACTGCATTGCCTGATAAGCTTTTAATTCATATCCACTTATAATGAAATGTTACATTGCCTCCTCCTCAGAAAATACTAACATACTTCATTCAGTCTTATGATCCACATTCATAATCACAAAACGAAAACATTATTTCACAGTCCAAGTACTGACTGAAAATGGAATCAATTAGACGGGAAGATACATAAAATATAAATAGGTATTAACATACTTGAAGTCCTGAATGACAGTCTGACACACCAACCAACGGCATTCCAAATACTTACTGTGAAAAATGAGCCAATTATCGAAGAACAAGAATAGGATAATTAGCCACAAAGGATTGTTGTTGCAGAGTGATAGAGAAGGAAACCTAATCAGCTGTATCATAACACCTCATCTATTAAGTAAATATAGCGCACGGCTAATGACTGACCATTCATTGTCATGGTCTTCTGAGCCTTCTAACAGTAACCTGGGACTCCTTGTTTCTTTGCTGTGTTTCCTGCTATTTCTCATCTTGTGCTCTAAGCTCCTTGGGACAAGGACTATTTTGTAAATTTATACATTCAAGCTCTGGTCCAGAGCCCTACATGTTTAACACAATACAAATATGAAATAATACAATCTCTCAGCCTGCTGAGCAGTTGAAAGGGAGTCAGCAATTCACTACCAAAAACAAATCCTCTGACATTTTACTGACTAGAAACGCATGTGCTGCAGTGAGAAGAGTGCTCCCTCTCTCTCATATACAACTTATTCCAATGTGAAATTTCATGAAATGCTTTTCAGTAAAGCATTAGAGAAGCTGGTTAAGCACACAGGAAAATATGTATGAGCTTGTGCTAGCACATAATAAAGTAACTGAGCTATAAATTCCTATTTATTATTGTATTCCTATTTATCTTCAAAGCTAATTGTGTCCCTGACATATAAATGACATCTGTGTATGCAGTAAATTCCAGCTGGTGGACAACATCATCATTAAATGTCACAACCAAACTCAAAGTCCTTAGACAAATGCTCTGCAATGAAGATGCAAGCAGAACATCTTGGCTGGAAACTATAATTATGAGAACTAAACAATAAGGTAGGAGACTCTTTTCCTACCTTTCTCCCCCTGGGATAGGACTGTTACTTGAAACAGTACACGAAGATGCAAAACAGCGCTGAAAGGAGGGATCCGTCTGCATGTTGGCCCTCAGCAAAGCAGGGTTAGTGCCCACAGTGCTGTCAGACATCACCGGAGAGTGGTTAATGGCTTCCGTGTAACTTCGAGATTCTGCAGCAAAGGAAACAAAAGTAAAACTCAAGTTAAAAAACAACTCACATTTTTATGGACCTTGTACTGAAAGAAGTGTTTATAAAACAATCTGGTTTTCTCTTAATAGGACTGTAATGAAGACTTTTTATTTGTTTGAGCAGTAACATTTTATTTCACAACATTACGTTAATTGCTGAAAACATCCAGCAGGACAAATGGCAGAGGGAATAAAGATTACAGAATTGCACCACTCAGACTGTTTGATCAGTTCTCCAGGGTACGTTCTCTAGCCCTAAACAAGTGAACAGACCTGTCTGTTCCAAGTTGTTTTGCATTCCACTGTCCACAGTGTTAATCAGATATGTCTAGTCAAGTGTCCTATGTGACTATACACACCATCAGTGTGCACTTAAACACCAAAGTGATAGAAAACTGGAGTATTAATTCAGCCCGCCCATTCAGCCCACTGCTGAATGGGGCAAGGGACCTGGTGGAAAATGACACGGAAAACACTGAGGTACTCAAAACCTTCTTCACCTCAGTCTTTACCAGTAAGACAGACCTTTGGGAATCTCAAGGCCCTGGAGGGGGATCCAGGAAAAATCTGGATCAAGGAAGACCTACCCTTGGTGGAGGAGCACCAAGCAAAGTAGCACTTAAACAAACTGGACATGTGCAAGTCCATTGGGGCCTGACAGGTTGCACCCACAAGAGCTGAGGGAGCTGGCTGATACCACTGCAAGGTCACTCTAGATAATCTTTAAAAGGTCACAACGATTGCGAGAGATTCCTGAAGACTGGAAGGGAGCAAGTGTCACTCCTATCTTCAAGAAGGACATGAAGGATGATCTGGGGAACTGCAGGCTTGGCTAGCCTAACCTCAGTCTTTGGGAAGGTGATGGAGCAACTAACCCTGGAAACCATTTCCAAACACATGAAGGAAAAGAAGATAATTGAGTTGTCAGTGTGGATTTACAAAGGGGAAATCATGCTTATCCACCCTGATAACATTCTTCAGCGAACTGACTAGCTTAGTGGCAAAAGGAAGAGCACTGGATGTTGCTTGTCTTGACTTTAGTAAGGCTTTTATCATGGTCTCCCATAACATCCTCATAAACAAGCTGACAAAGCATGGGTTGGATAAGTGGACAGTGAGGTGGACTGAAAACTGGCTGAATGGCTGGGCCCAGAGGCTTGTGATCAGCTGTACCAAGTCCACTAGGAGGCAAGTCACTAGCATTATACCCCAGGGGCTGATACTGGGGCCAATACTGTTCCACACCTTCATTAACAACCTGTATGATGGGATGAAGTTTCATCAGCAAGTTTGCAGACAACAGAAAACTGTGAGGAGTGACTGATAAACCAGATGGTTGTGCTGCCATTTAGAAGTGGGAGAAATGGGCCAAGAGGAATCTCAGGAAGTTCAACAAGGGGAAATGCAAACTCCTGCACCCGGAAAGGAATAATCCCAGGCACCAGTACATGCTGGGGGCCGACTGGCTGGGAGACAGCTCTGCAGAGAAGGACCTGGGGGTCCTGGTGGACAGCAAGATGACCGTGAGCCAGCAATGCAACCTCATGGCAAAGGCAGTTAACAGTATCCTGGGCTGCATCAGAAAGAGTGTTGCCAGCAGGTCAAGGGAAGTGACCTGTCCCCTCTGATTAGCACTAGTGAGGCCACATCTGAAGCTCTGCGCTCATTTCTGGGCTCCCTAGTACAAGAGAGACATGGACTTGCTCGAGCAATTGCTCTGCTATTATTTGAATGAGGAGGGTGCAAGGTACTTAAAAGAAATGCCTGAGATAAGAAAATCTGCAAATCAGTGCCCTGACTGAAAACCATTTGAATTCCTCACATAGCACACATACTGTACAGAGCAAACATTTGGATGAAGGAAACATTAGAAAACTGCAATGCTGTCTTAACTATACCCGTTACTTGAACTGTAGCCATGCCAGCCATAAAAGTGAACTTTAAGGAAATACTGCAGAAATGTGTGTGATGTGGAAGAGCTAGAGAAATCTGAATCTGTATCTATCTAATAGATCGGATATATTACAGTCATTCTCATACTGGTGCAAACACAGTCAGAAAAAGCTGGCTGCATAAACCCATGATTTAGGCCATATTCCTACTGAAATCAGTGGTGCTTGTTTACACAAGTATTACAAAGATTGACTGTCTACCCAAGTATTATAAAGATTGATGTTAAGCCTTGAGCAATGATTTCAATATATAATAAAGTAATATTACTTTGTCTTAACTGTTATCTGAGAAAAAGCCGGTTAGTTGAAGGTGGGTTGGTCAAACTAATGTTGCGCATCTGAAGACTACTAGAGCCCCCCCAGAAACACAACTTTCACTAGGCTAAAAGCAGATGAATCTACCGAGAGCAGCATCTGTAAGACAAAATATTGTTAAGTGCAACAGACATTTAATCTCTGCACATGAACCTGCAGATGCTTCCCAATTATACTGCAGGTTGAGATGACTCTGCTACTGTATGGGAGAGGTTAATGCATTCCCCGCAGGCATGGGAATTATGATCACAAGCTTAACTCCATATGCTTGCTTGTTTTCGTGCCTCTATGTCTGTTCCCCTGACACCAGACTATATAGGGGAGTCACTGGACTCCAGTTACCAAGAACCTGGGGGCAGGAAGGGGAGTGGAACTCCTTCTGAAATAGCTTAAAATCTTCTCCCACTCTAAATGTGATCTCAGCTATGTGCATAAAAATTAATCTAAAGCATTTACACAGCAAAGTCCTCTCCTTCTCCCATCAATAACAGCACTTGCTTGAAGAAATGGACCAAGACTTGATTCTTCCCTGTTTCAGCCTTGGACTGTTGCTATTACCTTTAGAGCACTGAATGCTGAATGAGGGAAGGACTGCTATCACACTCACAGATGCAGCTTTTCCTTTCATACCCAATTTTCACAGGTGTAAAATACTAAACTAAGAGTGAAAAGCCACTGGCAGCCAGGCATGTAATCTGCAGAAAGAACGCAAACTCTGTACAACTCTTCCCAGGCTAGAAACAAGTATATCTGAAAGGCACTTCCCATGAAAGCAGCTTTGTTTATATTTCCATTAAAAACAAGCTTGCTGAATATTTCAGCTATGTCCTCTCTATTGTCTGATGCAGAGTCCACACTCACCGGTCAGCTGTTAACCCTTTATCTCACAGAATCATTAACTCAGTGCAATCTCATAGCTTCCACAGGATTCCTGTATGCATGGTACGAACTCCCCTGGCATGTCTACTGCAAAGCATTGGTGCTTGCTGCAGGGCCCTACTAAATCTACACCATTATATCTGTGAGAACACTGACAACGTAAAAGTGCAGCTCCCTACTTAAAGAAGTGACATGACAACACCAGGATCATTCATGTTCATGTCTCTTCATGCAGCCGGATCAGACCTGCATTATCTACATTTACTATCACTGATCATCAACTTTACAGGCAGAACCTAAGACAGGAACTGGACTCTCTGCATCACACACTACTGAAAAGTGACATTCAGGAAGAAAACGAACACTATTGTGCCTACATGCAAGGCAGAAAAATATCCAGCTCACTCTTCTACTGTCCCACTTGGCAGCAAAGGGCAAATACTTGTAAAAGTTGCAAGCTTCTTTCAGTTGTAAGCAGAAACTCCTGGATGTGCCTAGGACACAGCTATATAAAGTAAGATGTTACAGATTAACTTGTATTTTAATCCACTACATCTGTTAAAACAAAAAAGAAAAAGGAACCCCGAAAAAAAATCCACCAAAAAACCCCAAGTGGCTTAACCCATGCCATGGTCCAGATAAAGGTAATGTAAAAACATTCCTTTTCCTCTTTCTTGTAGCAGCTGAAGGGCAAAATCACCTCACAGCTTTGGAGACAATGGTCCAACAATGGCAGGGAAGTGAAAGAAGCAGTCATTCCACTATCATACCTTGTATTTTAGCAGCTTCTCATACACTCCCATCTTTGTAGTCCTTTTTGTGAGAAGGTGATAGCTAACCTGCATTGCATGAGCTTGAAAACTCCAGTCAAGACTGTCAGTTACATCTTTTGGGGAAAGGGAGCTCCAAGTCACTGTTCCAATCCCAAAACCCTGAGCTGACCACCCCCAAGCTACCCCAGGCCAGCCTACAAGCTGAATGGACACAGAAAAGCATATTGCTCTAAAGTAGCCAAAGCAACCGAGCCACTGCCAGCCCTAAAGAGCAGCAGAAGGAGAAGCAGCTTTGTGCAATACTTCTAAATTTCACAGTCTATTTCTTGATCCACCCTTTGATGGCTTCAGCAATGATGAAAAAATCCAGCCTAATGAAAATAGAATCATAGAATCATAGAATCATTAAGGTTGGAAAAGACCTCTAAGATCACCAAGTCCAACCATCAACCCAACACCACCATGCCCACTTAAACCATGTCCCTAAGCGACTCATCTACACGTCTTTTAAATACCTCCAGGGATGGGGACTCAACCACTTCCCTGGGCAGCCTGTTCCAATGTTTAACCACTCTTTCACTAAAGAAATTTTTCCTCACGTCCAATCTAAACCTCCCCTGGCGCAACTTGAGGCCATTTCCTCTCATCCTATTGCTAGTTACTTCGGAGAAGAGACCAACACCCACCTCGCTACAACCTCCTTTCAGGTAGTTGTAGAGAGCGATGAGGTCTCCCCTCAGCCTCCTTTTCTCCAGGCTAAACAACCCCAGGTCCCTCAGCCGCTCCTCATCAGACTTGTTCTCCAGACCCTTCACCAGCTTCGTTGCCCTTCCCTGGACACGCTCCAGCACCTCAATGTCCTTCTTGTAGTGAGGGGCCCAAAACTGAACACAGTATTCGAGGTGCGGCCTCACCAGTGCCGAGTACAGGGGCACGATCACTTCCCTACTCCTGCTGGCCACACTATTTCTGATACAGGCCAGGATGCCATTGGCCTTCTTGGCCGCCTGGGCACACTGCCGGCTCATGTTCAGCCGGCTGTCAACCAGCACCCCCAGGTCC